TTTAAGGAGCAATGTCATTTGTCCTGTTATAAGGGGGCGTGATGTACATTTGGTCTGAAGATATTTTTTCCACTTTAAATAAGTGCTTGGATAATTTTAGAATTCCCTTGGAATCTTCTCAGGACATTATGTGTATCTACAATTAGAAATTAATATTTTATGTCAATTTGTTCATCTAGTTTTACATTTAGCTGTATTCAGTTAGAAAATGTAGTTTTTTATTTGTATTATTTGTATTTCATATTATAATCTTTTAAGACTCCTTCTTAATGGGTATAAAAATAGGCTTTTCACACTTCTAACTATAGCTATGAGAAATTAGTATGATCTCTTCTCGCAGCCAATTTTTCTGCTATATTATTTTATAATGAAATGCTTTGGGCAGCTTTCTTGGCCTTCCTAATTTTAAAAAATATTTCCTATGTATTATTTTAGAGAACTGAAAATATACTTAAAGAAGTGTGAATTGTGCTTTAGCAATGATATGCTTTTCAGAACTCACATTAACATAGGACACTGAGAGTATATGTGAAGCTCCTGAGGATTATTTTATACTTGAAACAAAACATTGCTAATAAATTTTTCCCTCTAGTTTTAATTTAGGAATTTATATTCATTTTTCTCAGAGAAACATTTAATTCTACTGATCTACGTTTCAAATGTAAAAACTTAACCAAACACAGCAGTTATTTAAAAATTTATTTATTTTTAATTCATGCATCATACATGTGATAAATATTCTATATATAATTGCTCAAATTCAAAGTTGGCCAAATTCAAATCACACTGACTTTAATGAATGGTCATAGTATACCCAATAAGAGATTGAAATGGAATCGAATTGGCACCTGGCTACTGTGAATAAGGCAAATGTTCAGTAAAGATCTGCTGATTTAGCAAGGGCTTTAGTTTGTGAAATTCATGTCTTACTACCACTGCCCTGATCAGTTGAGACAGAATTAGCACTAGCTAAATCGTCTGCGTACTGCCGGGAGGGGTTTGTTGAGGTTAAGAGCCTGAAGACAGAGATTAGGGAGTCCTCATCCTCCTAAAGTGCTGGGCATCCAGGATTAGAGCTCTGGGTCAGAGAAATCCAGCCCAAATGCAGACCTAAGCATCCCGCATTTGGGATTACCAAATGGATAATGGATAGCCCGGTCTGCACGTCAACTCAAGAGCATTTCACCTGCCATACCAAAGTGACCTTGGTTCACAGTTTGTCTACATGCTGCTAAAACTGAAGAGAATGCCCCAAAATGTGAAAGTTAATATTTAAAGTCTCATAGGTTGATGCTATGATTCAGTACCCTTAAATGGTGTGTTTGCCAAAACACAGATTTGGAGCTTCAAGTATGTATTTGGCTGATGAAGGGAAAGATCTGGTTAAACCCAAAGTATTTTTGGAAATGTCCTGCTAGTATTTGCTTTAAATATAATTGGTTTAGGGCAGTAAAACTGTGATGGTGGATACATGTCATTATATATTTCTCAAAACCCAGAGAATGTAAAACACTGAGAGCAAACCCAAATTAAACTGTTGACTTTGGGTGAGAGTGATGTGTCAGTGTAGGTTCATTGATTGTAACAAATGTACCAGTCTGGTGCAGGATGTTGATCATAGAGAAGGCTACACATGTACATGTGTAGGGGCAAGGTATGTGGGAGCTCTGGGTACTGTCTACTCAGCTTTGCTGTGAACCTAAAACTACTCTAAATAGTCTATTTAATAATAAATAAATACATAATTTATATATCTATATACAATTTGGGATATACAGAAGATAACAGGCATAACATAAAAAAGGTACGTATCCATTCAGGCTGCTGTAACAGAATACTGTAGTCTGGGTCGATTATAAACACAGAAATTTATTTCTCACAATTCTGAAGGCAGGAAATTCCAAAATGAAGGCACCAGCAGGTTAATGTCCAGCCAGGACCTGCTTCCTGGCTCACAGATGGCCATTTGTGTCCTCCGTGGCACAAGAACCAGGGAGCTCTCTGGTGTCTCTCTACTAAGGGCACTAATACAATTCATGAGGGCTCCACCCTCATGACATCATCACCTCCCAAAATCCCCACCTCCAAATACCATCACACTGGGGATTAGATTTCAACATAAGAATTTGTGGGAGTGGACATTCTGCCTATAGCACCAGGCAATGATTTTTTTAAAAGAAAATTTGGGCACCAGTAGCTATGACAGTGGTAAGTAAATAAGCACTTGCTCATAGTGCAAGAATCAAAAGGAATGAGGGAAACCACATGGAGCCCAGAACCATAACTCTCAGGCATGACAGATGTCAATGACTCCTAGTCCTCCCTCAGGATGTCAGTGACATAGGGATATTTCCCTTGACAATTGGAAATGGCTTATATTTTAGGTAAAAATAAGGTGGATTGACTAGAAAAGAATAAACTACTGTATCAGAAGTATAAAAAATTTTATAGGTTATATTAAGCTCCCTTGGCATTGCTAAACAAAAGAAAGCCAGACCCAAGAACCACGGAATCCAGAGCAGGTATGATTCCAAGGAGGGTTTAAATCAGATTTAAATCAGATGAAACTTCTCTCTGATGCCTCACTTCTTCATCTCTATTGGCCTGATAACCTTGAGTTGCCCACTTATTTCACTGAATGCATGACTAATAGTGAAAAAATCCTGCCTTGGTTCTGCAGACAATGGACGCTACAGAGCCTCGTAGAAATATACCTATGTATGGTGGTGGACCTGGTTGTCCAGAAGAAGGACATTTGTGCCGATTATCTGGTGGAATGACATTAGAAGGTAACCACATTGCCCCACAGCACTAGACTCTGTGGCTGCCCCACCCCACAGCCTCTCGGTACCCTCCTGAGTTCACCTACAGCCCTGAAAGTTATACCCCATCTGCAGCACCTGCATTTCTCAGCTTCTGGTTCTGAAGTCTTCCTCCTGCACCACAGGAATTGTTGTTTTGTCTGGCTCAGGAGTAACCCTGCTGCGGGAGAACCGTGCCCTCAACCAATGGCTGACAGAACTTGGGTAAATTGCTAACTCTTTGTCTTTCACTGGGACAGTCTGAGGAGTGATCCACAAGGTTCCTTAGAAGGTCCCCAGCAGGGTTGAGCCCCAGTAGCCCACAGCGGTAGCCCAGGCATTAACTCACGCCTTACTGGCTTTTCCCCTCCTGATTTCACTCTCCCATTCCATCGTGGGGGCTTCTGGGGATCACCTCCCACATAAACTACCTGCATTCCAGCCCTTGTCTCCATGATAGCCTACGGGGAATCCCAGAATAAGACAGATTTTTCTACTGCTGGTGACTAATTTCCATGGCATTTCCCTAGGGTGACATGTGTGAGGAAGAGGGGTGGTCAGCATCAAGGCTGGCCTGGCTCTGGGGGATTCTGCGTCTTTCGCTTTCTTTGTTCTCCTTCCTCCTGTTTTGTCTCAGGCATCGCATAAAATCAATATGAACGCTCTGTTTGTCATTTCAAACATTCTATCTCATTCAAGGGTAAGTTCATGGGCAACTTCTGCCAGAGACAGTCAATTCATGACACAAATCGAAGTTCAGTAATGTATCCAAATGAAATACCAAGCTGCGTGCCACATTGTTCCATTGTATAATAATGAGCCAGAGGGAAGAAAGTGTCCGTGCACCAGGTCTCATGGGGACGTCCTGAGATCTCAAGCCACAGGCAGTGTCCTCACCAGAACTGCAAGCCCTTGGCTGACGTATACCCAGCCTGCATTCTTTGTTGGCATTCTCCCCATGGCTGGAGACACCTGGAAGGTATTTTTATTCTAATCCTGATTGGTCACTAAACTCTCTAGGCCACTGTCAGAGAGGAAACTAAACTGGCCTCAGAAATACAGTGAAAATAAATCAACACAAATAATTTTATACGCACACACACACACACAAATGGCAAACAGCAAGGTTAGGTGACCACTGGTCTTGAACTTCTGGTTTGATTAGTAGGTTTAAATCTGAAAAAGAAGCTAAAGAAATGACTACTTACTTAAATGCCATTATAGTTTCAGTTGTTAAGTCATATGAATATATTAAGTCTTTAAAAATCAAATAAAATATACATACAAGAAAGAATGAAAAAAAGGAGAGAGAGAGGGAGGGAAGGAGGAAGGGTGGAAGAAAACAAAGATCACTACTTTGAAAAGCAGAGCATTTTCTTCCTAATTTCCTTTTTTTCCAAACAGGTGGAGGCATCTTGGATTTTTTTAAAGTGACAATTAAGGATGAATGAGAAGCTAAAATGACCTGTTTGACTAGTATTTGTTTAATATTTAAAATCATTGAAAGGGCATAATTAATAAGAAATAACTCAATAATTACTTAATAATGAAAAAGAAAATGTAAGGCAAAATATTATCCTCTTAACAATGGTCCCTTTTTCCTGATCACTAGGTTCTGAAGATAAAGTTATGAATCCTTGTGTTTATGTATGTTTGGATACAACTTGGCTACTTGTTCTAATTAAATACAGTCTCATGTAGTCAGCCTATATCTACTCTAATGAGATATATTTTTAGCTATTAGGAAGATTTTTCCTCTTTTTTCTGTTTTAGCCTTATCAACTAAAGAGGAATATTTTTCCAAGTATTGAGCATATGAAAGAATATATGCATTTGTACCTCTGCACATAAAAAAGTTAAAATAAGTTATGAGAAAGAGAGTTGGTATTTCTGGAATCTTGTAAGGCTTGTTTAATTTTATCATTGCTTATTAAGTGTGGTATGGTATTACCTCTGGACTGTACAACAGATTCCAAGGGCACATTGATAAAATGCTGTGTTCCACATTTGAATTCGGGTACTTACAAGGGAGGGGTTTTGTGTAACTGAATGTTTTGCTGTATCTGATCTCCCCAAGTGTTTGGAAAATACAAAAGGTGTGTGTTCAAGGGAAATTCTAATAGTTCAGAAAAAATAGAGTTATTTGTTAACATGTTTATCTGGTTCTTTTTAGAACTCCATCAGTGGCAAGAGATATTGATGATAAATCCAACGATGGCCATGAACCCTTTACTGACATCAGGGCAGCAAAGGATCCCACTGGTTCCCTCACCATTTGGAATTCCAACTGTGGATAGGTATTTCTCTCCCATGTAGTATTCTGGTCAAAGGAGAAAATGGATGCTCATTAAGTTTTCAAATGATGTTAACCCCAGCGTTGTTTTATTGACTAATGTTGTATCTGTGAATTGTGGTGCAATAATTCACGTGAAGACACCGTGCTGGCTGCACCTTCACCACAGTTCCTGTTACTTCCCCTTTGAGGTCTGCTTGATGTACTTGCTCAACAGCTAGCTAATGAGCACTTACTGTGTGGCAGGCATCAGGCTGGTGCAAACACTGGGGTAGTCTTTGAGGGCTGCCATAACGAAATACCATGGACTGGGAGGCTTAAACAACAGAAATTTATTTCTCACAGCTCTGGAGGCTGAAAAGTCCTATATCAAGGTGTCAGTAGGCTTGGTTTGCGGTGAGATCTCTCTCCTAGGCTTGCAGGGAGCCACCTTGCTAATATGTCCTCACCTGGCCTTTTTCTCTGCACATACACTCCTGGTACCTCTTCCCCTTCTTGGGAGGAACCAGTGCCTTTAGATTAGGTCTCCACCCTTCTCCTCCATCATCCTTTTAAAGGCTACAGTTACACTGGGGCTTAGGACTCCAACATGTGGCTTTGGAGGGGAACACAGTTCAGTCCATGACAATTGGGTGCCCTGGATTTCCTGTGGTAGAATAATTCTTTCTTTTCAATAAAAGTAACATTGTCAGTATTGAGGTTGCATACTGTGGTGGTTTCCTATCTCCCTTTCTTTAGAATATTTTGACATGACGAGGGGAAAGTAAAATCCATTATTTATTCTGGTTTGTGGAGTGTGAACAATTAATTTGGGCTTCTAGCAACTGCTGAGGTTTGGGAAAAAAAATTAATTGTCCACCCAGCAAGTCAAACATTGGTCCTAGACAGCAAAACCCAAGCCAAAGTATGTCCTTTAAATGAGAAAAAAATGGGTTGTGATCAGAACAGTATGTTGGTCATGGAAAACTAGAGAGCAGTGCTGATTTGATTAGATCTTTTTTCCCATCCATTCCTAAAATTTCCCTTTCCTGCTTTCTCTTCTGTGTTGTCAGCTGGGTCAAGCCTTTCTTAGTAGAGTCCTTCTTCCTCATCTTTCTTACCATACTTCTACTTAAACCAATAGAAACTGCAGGATTTTTGTACTTCATTTTGGGAAGAGATGTTAGGATCCCATGTGGCAGTAAAAAAAAAACAAGAAAACAACTCACTGCCTATGCAATGAAAATTTTGTAAATTCTATCCTCATTTTCTCTATTTTCTCTTTTTTTTTACCTCTAGAGGTTTACTGCCTTCCACTGTAGCTCCAAGCAACCCAACACAGTTCCATGTTCCTCCCCAGTTTGGATCCTCTGCTCTACCAAATGCAAATATGCCGAACATGTTGTCCAGTCACGTCCAGTCAGGTATGAACAATAGATGGCTGTCGCTGTGGAGCTACTGTGAACTCCATGGCTACATTAAGCTTGCCATCAAATTTGCTGCTAAACTGTGGAAGCAGAACTGTGTGCTGGTTATGCTTGCAGTTTTTGCAGTTGCCTAGGGTTAAACCTAGGTTTAGATCATGGTTCCACCACTACGTGACCAAGTGTAAGTTGCTTAACTCCTCCAAACATCAATTTACTGGTGAATCATGTGAAAAACTGCATTACTGTCTTATCTTAAATGTGAGGAACGAATGAAATCCTGAGGAAATAAGATCTCAGAGTTAAAGGGGCTTGGAGAAATTTCTTTATGGCCTGATAGGCCATGATGAGGACCTTTTATTCTGAGTAAAAGGGGATGCTTTTGAGGATTTTGAGCAAGGGCACAACATGGTCTGAGCAAAGGAGTTCCATTTTATGAGGATCACTCTGGCTGCTGTGTTAGGGACAACCTTGACAGGATCAAAGTTCTGAGGATAAATGATGGGAAGAAATGGGCTATTAGAATAGTCAGAAGATTATGATGAATTGCCCTGGGTGGTGAGAGGAGGAATATAGTAAGACATGACTGAATTCTATAATCATTCTGAAGGCATAAACAACAGGTTTTTCTCACAGTTTAGTTGTGAGTTGTGACAGAAGGAGAGGTGTTAGGGGCAACATCAAAAATTTTGATCTTAGTTATCAGAATGGTAGAGTCACTAATCACTTGCAGAAGGTTGTGAGAGGAACAGAGTTCTTGGGGTGAGAGAGATATCATAGGCTCAATGTTGCTCATATTACGTTTGACATGCCCAGCAGATCTTCACTGGAGATGTCAGGAAGGCAGCTGAAGTCCAGGGAGGCCTTCTGGTGACAGCCTGGAGATATGATTTTGGAGGTCATCAGCATATATGCAACTGGATGAGATTATCTGCACCTGAGTGTAGATAGAGGCTGAAAGTATTATCCCTGGCACATACCAACAGGATCCAGAAGATGAGGGGAAATAAGCAAGGGAGACACAGGAGGAGAGACCAGTGTGGTGGGCGGAAAGCAGGACAGTATGGTGGCCTGGAAGACAAGGGAAGAAAGTTGTTTTAGGAGAGTGAGCACCTGTGCTAAGTGTGCTGCTCAGAGATCGAGTAGATGAGGTCTAAGATTATATGATTAGATTTAGCTATGTGGAGGTCACTGATCATCTTGATAAGAACAATTTCACTCAGGTGGTAGCAGCGAAAACATGACTGGTGGGGCTTGAGAGAGAACCAGGAGGCAAGAATTTCCTCACAATATTGAAGATCATGCTGATGCATATTATCTTTCCAAAACCACTCAGGTGGTAGCAGCGAAAACATGACTGGTGGGGCTTGAGAGAGAACCAGGAGGCAAGAATTTCCTCACAATATTGAAGATCATGCTGATGCATATTATCTTTCCAAAACCACATACATGAGTTTCTGTTGGTCCTGCTTCCCAATTCCAACAATTCATAATAGACAGGAATGATATGAGTAAAAAGCCTGACACCCAAAGAAATATGACTGGTGCAAGGACCAGTAAAGACAGCAGCCTGCCTGGATTTGTGCATGCCTACCACAGTGCAGGGTTCACTGCAATGAGATTGTGCATTCGAGCATGGACCAGATAGGAAACCAGATACACCCACTGGAATAGTCAAAGGACCAAAGAAGACAGCTCCGGCAGCTGATTCTGGATGGAAGCCCTTCTGGCAGCAGGAACCCAGTAAATTTATAGCCCCTAGTTACAAGCAACAGATACACAGACAGTGGAAGAGTTGCACTGCTGAATCAAAGAGTCCCTCTTACTGAGAAGGAGTCCAGAAACTGCCAGTGTGTCAAGCAGGCAGATTGACCATCTGTCTCAAGGACATAGGTCAAATCTCCTGCCTCGAGGCTAATGTGTAGGAGACAAGCAAGGGTAAGGTGGGACCTCAGTCCTATGGAAACTGATCCACCAAGTAAATTAGCAAAATAGAAACTAAGATAGGCATCTGTTTTCAAAAATTGGTGTTAGGTAGAGAGTGGATTATTACAGCTGGACTAACACCAAGTTTGATTTCACCTTTCTATTTCTATTAGGGAAAGAGAAAGATCTTGTAATAGATCTTGGTGACTCCCGATTTCAGAGGGTCCTTACATCCACATACTTAGAATTGTGCCCTCTCAGCTGGACCTCTCCTGTGAACCTCCTCCACATCCTTTGGCAGTGCTTTGTATGTAGATTGATAGTTTCATGCCTGCCAGCTGTCTAAAGAAGAATATCTTGAAGCCACCAAATTAATAAAAATGTAGAATTTCAGAGTTAAAAGAATTTTATAGGTCACTTCCTCTAACCTCTAAATTTTACAAGTGACAAAATCTCATTAAAAAAAAGAATATTATGGTTTATTTCAAGACAGTTTATTAATAGTTTAATGAGCTCTACGAACTTTGTACAAAGCAAGTGTAAGAAAGAGTTCTAGCTCTCATGATACCTTTTTGTTAGGAAGAACAGATTTACATATGTAAAACTATCACTGAACAAAACTACATAATACAATTTGTGTGTCTATTATTGTCAGAATGTAGCTTGTAAAACTATAAAGTGGTTGTACAAATAAAGGCGTAAATAGAGAAAACTTTGCAGCAATAGACAGGGCAATTTTATATCTGTTAATCTAATAATTTTAAAATTGTGTTTCTATTTGTCCTTGTTTTTATTTCAATTTTCTAAAAATTAATTTCATTGTATTTTTAAAAATATTGGTCTATGGTGTGTTGGAAATTAAAAGGAAAAATATGATCCTTTACCATAGATGGTCTGAGAAGCACAGTTCAGTGCATTAGGTGTAGAGAAAGAAAAAATTATCGATATAAAATGAAGTCCCCATGCAAGAATGGAGCCTTGAATTCTAGTGATGCTGCTATTTCAAAACATTTTGGAAGAGTGATACAAAGAATGTAATTGCTCTATTGAAATTGTTTCAGAAAAAATAACTTCCTTAGATAAGACCAAAAAGTCCACATAGAGACTTTATATTTTATTCACTTAAATCATTGCATTTATCTCCAAAAAGTTGGGTCCATAAAGAAGCACTAATTACTTTTTGTTTTTAAGGTCAAAGTATTCCTCTCAGCAGGGACCAGCAGAAACTCATGAATATGATTTTAGGGAGATAAGATGCATTAGTTTGATCTTCAGTATGCTGAGGAAACTCTTACCTCCCAGGCTCTCTCAAGCCCCACCAGTCACGTTTTCACTGATATCAGGAAATTGGTTGACCTTTCAGTTTCCACTTCAAAAGCAAGAGATCAAGAGATCCACAGTTCATTTTTTTTTCCTTTTGAAGTAGGGCAGGAAAATGTTGCCAATCATGAGACCCATACTTAAAGAAAAAAATTATCTAGTATTTATCATGCCACCACCAGAGTGATACTGAACAGCAGTGATCTGATACCACGTCCAACATTGTGCTCCACTGGTGGGTTTTTGCAGTTACTGCTGTAAATCATTATGTTTTCGAATGGATGCTGTTAATTTGTTTGTGGGGTGGGGTGGTGATTTTCCTTTTTAAGGTTTTGGCATTTTACCTGAGTCCATAAAGGCAACGGCCAAAAGGAATGAAATGATTCAAAGGCAGCATACTGCCAGGTACCATAACAATGTTGTTTTATTCATTTTTTATTTACTTGTTCATTTATTTTAGATAGATAGATTGATAGATATAGATATAGATACTTTAATATATACATTCATTTGTTGTATTTGTATACATTTATACACTAATTCATTCATTTGTTGTATTTGTATAAGTATATATACTCTATATATATACTTATGTATATATATGTATATATACACATATATATTCTGATTACTTATAGAAAGCACTTCAAGAATTACAAAAAGAAACATAAATAAACATGTATTTAGGTTGGTTAAGGATAAAAGCAAGATTAGAAATTACATAGTGAAGCTAAGTTCAAGATCATAACAGTTTGTCAGTGTCTCAAAATTAAAATGCCTATCCCTGAAAGTCATATTGATAGTTTTGTCTTTGGGTCTGCCCAAATGTAGAAGCCAAGCTTGCCGGCCCCACTTCAGACTATGCCATCAGAGCCCAGACACCCCATGTCAGTGGCCCCAGTAGGGGCCTTCAACTATAGCAACCAGGAGAAAGAAAAGACAGCAGTAATGCCTAAGGCAGGGCCCTGGGGTGAGAGGAGCCATCAGAGTCAGTTTTCTCATCACTGAGCCCTACCTAATGGGTCCAAGTGATGATCAATAGGCAAAGTAAATTAAGCAAAAACACCAAGTCTTCCCCACACCCCCTGCCACTTGCACTGGTTTGTAAGAGTTGAGACTTGCATTGGCTTATTGCCTTTCCTGAGTCCCACTGAGACTGGGCTACAGATTTAAAAACCTCTTCCCAGAACTTTGGTTTCTTTGAAGATTAATCTCAGTCAAGACCTTGTACCACATCATCCCAATTCCTGCTAAATTTGCTGAATCTGTTAGAGGTAATGTTCTGAAGACTGGCCCTGGACCTCCACTGTTAGGTTTAGGCAAACCTTCAGGCTTTGTGGGGGATTTGTGTTTCCCCCTACAAATTTCCATAAGTAGTGCAAAGACTCAGGAGAAGCAAAAGTGCTATCCCCAGGGAGGCAAGGACAGTCAAGATGATATTTCTAATGCCTTTCTTGTATTGTGTAAAATATATTGTTTTATTTTTAGAGTGGGAATGGAAATGCATGCCATTTACCAGCAAAGGAGAATAGAAAAAGTGAATCCCAAGGGACCAGCAGGCCTAGGGGGACCATTCTTCTATGGCTCCAGTATCCCAACTGTCCCAGCCACCTACCGTGGCAGAAGCATGCTTCCTGCTAGTGATCTACATTGTTACAGAAGCACCCTGAGAAACCTTCAGGGAAACCCCAAGCTAGTGGCAACTGGTCCATGTTTTCTAGAGAGCTGGTGTCAGAAAGGTTGTCATCTCAGAAGAGGGGCAGGGAATCATAAAGTTCTAGACAGTGATACTCAGAGTTCCAAAAGTCAAGTAGAAGAAAAAATCTTAGTCCAGACTCTTGCAATTCCCTGTGAAAAGGATGAATATGCAAAAGGCCCAGAAACCGAAGCTCTCAACAATAAGAAGTCAAGAGAAGCCAATGAAAAGCCAACTACAGCCCTTGCCAATGCCTGTGGAGAGCTTGAGCCCACCCACACAAAACCCTGGGGAGCCCATGGTGCTTCCATAGAAGCAAAGGCCTGGGATGGTGTGAAAGAGAAAGCTTCAGAGCAGGTTTTTGCAGCCTGTGGTGAAAACAATGGAGTATGCCCTCCAATTTCTCAGCCATCTGTGCCAGGTGGGTGTCCAGGGGCCAATGGCAGATCCTCATGAACTACAGGTTATCAAGTCCCTAAGTTATTACATAGTGAACAGCCATTGAGTTTTTCATCCTTTTGCTTCCCTTAATGTTGTTTAGAATTACCTCTTCTTCAAGTCACTTTATCATGTTAGTTCCAATAAGCCATGTCCGTGAAACTTGTCTCTATGTATGTATTGCTATGTAGAGAATTTTCACCAAAGACTTAGAATGCAAGAATGTACAATGACTGGGAAGCCTACCAGAATTTTTAATTAAAATTTTAACTCAATTTGCTGTTAATTTCTTCAACACAAGATAGAAAGGCTTCTTGCTCAAAAGTATGAATTATACCCCGCCTCCCACCCCCCGTATTTAAGTGTAGAAAAAATTAGACAAACAGAAGCATTAACTTTTCAGTGCCCATTACTATACCACCTTCTAACCTGGAAGTATTAATGCACTGCCCCCTAAAATGACACACTGAATAGTTTCCTAAAATTCCTTTAGATAAAAGTATTTTAAAAGAAAGGAATTGGGAGGATGATCTAGCCACCATACCAACTGCTTCCCTTACAAAGTGTACATCTGCCATTTCGATGAAGATGTAGCTAAATTCTTGCATCAACAAGAGAGCATAGTAAATCAGATAGCATCAGAGAACATGGCAGTGTCAATCTGGAGAGTGAAATCCGCAGAGCATTTCTAATGGAATCTCAGATGAGCTAGAGCGGTTCTGGAACTCCTTTGTGATAATACTGTCACTAACAATCTTCAGAGAAAGAAAAGAAAGGAAGCAGATAAGGTTTTTTAAAAAACATTTCTCAGTAAATCTTAATATCCTTTAAGGAATTTATATATAGATTCTACATAAAAGAACCACTCTGTGGTGACAGAGTAGGAGGAAATTAATGTAACTATACATGAAACTGTGATCTTAGCTTGCCTCTTTTCCCTGGAAATTTTATACCACCAAAAAATTTCCTTTTCATTTAAAGGAACGTATACACTGGTTACAATTGGGGAAAATCTGTCTTTGGATGAAGATATTCAGAAATGGACCGTGAATGATGTGCACAACTTCATTAGTGGCCTTCCAGGTTGTTCAGACTATGCTCAGGTAACTTAATATTTAAGTATTTTCATAAAAGTAAGAGACCTGGAAATGTATTTCCTTCATAATGAGCTCTGTCAAGCTTGCATTTTGCCCTCAGAGAGGATTTCTAATAATGTCTCCTCATTCAATATCACTGGCTACCCAGGGATGGGAGCCTCTGATTGATGGAGCATGGCTCATGTGCCCACCCTCAGCTGCAGAAGCTGGGAAAGCCCAGGCATGGCTTTAGTTTTTATTGTATAAAGAATCTTGAGAGGTGGGAAGTCTGCCCATACTGGAAGATTCAGAGGCCAAACGTCCAAAAAGAATGAGAAATGTCTACTACATCCCTACTCACTCACATAACAAACATTTCTGAAGCACATATTTCTATACCAGAAGTTTTGGGCTACTCATAATAGGTAATGTAAATATAAACTTCATTCCAAAAAAGACAAGAAGGCAAGAAATCTGAAAAGTAGGCAATTAACTATTTGCTGGAGCCATGTACAAAAATGTATACACACACACACACACACACACACACACACACACACACACATATATATATATATAATTCAATCTGGTAGATAAATATTCTTTTTAAGTGAAAATGAGTTGTCAGGACAGTTTGGAAAGAAGATTGATTTACTTGTATGGGAAAATTGGTGACAAAAAACATGGGCTGGCAAGTTGTTGAATTTTATGTCAATGTTACATTTTCATGCATGTTGTTTACTTTTCCAAGTGATTTAATAATGCAATTCCAAGCAACAATGTGCCTACTAAATCTGTTATCATTGTCTTTGGTTTATATATTAAAGGAAAAGAAAGCAAAGAAAGGCCATTATCTAACAACACCATAATTAACTGATACCAGAGATAATTTTTTTCAGCCCTGAGTTTTGTGATATTTTCCTTCAGTGCAACGCTGTTAATTCTTTTCCTTTTTTTTCTTTTTCATTCTGTTTATGGGACTTATGGACAAGTTATTTAGAGTGGTAGTTAAAAGTATGGCTTATGAAACCAGAAAATACAAGTTCGAATCTTGGCTTTTTCACTTTGTGGATATGTGACATAGGATCATTTTCCTCTCCTCTGTGCCTCGGTTTTTTTATCTGCAAAATGGGAACAATAATACAATACATTCTTTAGGGATTGTTGTACACACTAAAGAGTGCCTGGCAGCTTGTAAGTCATCAAGAAATACTAACTTCATCATTAAATCAGAGGCTCCTAGGGAGAGCACAAGCTTAAGTTACTTATGAGGCAAGTTGTATTCTTCAAGTTGCCCACTGCCTTTATGCATACCTGATAAAAATGTTTGTCCTTTTCTCTCCTATTAAACAAGGATAACCTTAAAAATTTTTATTAGTCATTAATCATGGGTCAATCACTTTTTAAATTGATCTGTGCCACTTATCAAGTGCCACATCAACCTCTGGTACAGTGAGGTTATCAAATTCTGATAACACCCAGAAATAAGGGACCTCGTGTTTAGTGACCATGTGATGGCTAACTTCTGATAGAACTGAATCTGTTTGAAGTCTCACTATGAATCAGTCAGTGATCTGCAGTTATAAGGTACAGTTTATAATAACCACTGTTGTGATAAATAATGTTACAGGCATTTCAGGCTTTACCATCAGAATGTCCTCTTGTGGGCACATGAAGTCACACAGACACAAATACCCCAAACTTTGTTAACTCATTGTCTCGCCCCAGCAGGATATAAGCATTCCTTTTTGCACCCAAAGAAGTAGTGCAGTTACTTCGAGGTGTTTCTCAGTTGTGTTTAGGATCAAGTCCTGGTCTTGTTTCCTCACCAAAGTCCATTCCCTGCCAGCGACCACTGGAGAGATCAGCTGCCAGAACTCAGCTGCTTTGCTGGGCATGACACGCCGGGCTCAGGGACAGCGTCCCCACTGAAACGGCAGATTCCCTGGGTGTGCCTGTGTGCAGTCTGAGTGCACAAGCTCTGAAGCAGCTCTGCATGTGCACACCTGTTGCAAGGACCTTGTCTGAAATGTCCCCTCGGCTGGTCCTTACAGCTCCTGGGCCTGTCTCCCTGCATACTTCTTGCGTACCTCTGCCTCAGGTGCCTACTTAGCAACTCCTACCACCTGCCTCCTGTAACTAGAAAAAGAAATTCTGAAAAAAAATAATAACCACACCAAAAACCCAAACCCTGATGAGCAAATGAACTCTCAAAAAGATGTAGAGAGAGAGAGTTGGTGGCTCAACTGCTTAGGGATATCCAGGAGAGCCTGCAACACATTTGGTTTGTTCTAAGTAAATGCAGTTCAAAGAACTCAGCAGATAAATATTCTCTCACCAAGAGATAATTGAAATTACTAAAAATATGTGCACATTTCTATAGTGCTCTTGGCCTGAGCTTCTCTCCTGAGAATGAGGTGAGAGGGATGTCTGAGCGACAGGGGTGTGCTCTGTACCCTTGCCCCAGGCCCAAGGTTGACCCAGAGGCTGAGTTCAGGCCTTGGCTGCCACCTACCTCTGGAAATGAGTCCCTGTGGGCTCTCCTTTGGATGCTCACTCTGGGTCCTTTCACTGCTCACCGAAATCCCTGCAAAGGAAAGAGAAAGGAGGTAAAATTTCCACCATTAATAGGCTTAACTATTTCTGTCGCATTCCTCTTTCTGAATGGCCATGGGATTCAGCAGGAAAAATGCTGGACTAGAAGCATGAATTGTATGTCATTTGACAAGTTCTCTAACTGCCAGGCAGTGCTTCTTGACCACTTAACCTGTTCTCCATTAGTTCTCTCATTTGTGAAAGATCCTAACAATGATGCCCACTCTTTGTCGGACACATTTTGCTGCATAGTAAAATTGAGCATCAAGGTGGATAAAAGAGTGAGTATTTGAAAACTGTGTATAATTTCAAATCCAGCTCTTTCCATGATAATTGCCCTATACTGAGTCTATAGGACCACATGGTCCCATAAGGTACCCACGAGCACATGGGCCCCTAGGGTTTCTCAAAGGTGGTAGAAAGGATCCTTAGGTTATTCTTGGTATTTCAAAAAGCCTAAGAGAGGTTTGACATTTCCCCAAGATGAGGTGACAAGACTAGCCCAAACTGTCAAGTTTTTGCTTTGGCCCAAATTAATTCCTATTAGTCGTTCTATGATTTGCTAAATTAAAATAGGAAAAGAAATAATTAATAATATAGCTTGTGAATCACCAAAATCTGTTAGGATGCAAAGTTCCTGGTACAGAAGCTTCCCATGAAGATTTTATTTTTCAGCCAGTCCTGGGCATTTCCCCTTAGGCATGGACCACGTGGTCCCTGAACAAGACAAATAGGGTCCCTCTTCTCACGGAGCTTATAGTCCAGAAGAGGGACATAGTAATGGATTCCACATCCATGTGAATGTGCTCTGAGGGGCAGGTACAGCGCATGGTAGGAACCCACAGGAGGGCCTCATGGCTTCCTAAAGAGGCATTAAAAGTGAGACTGATGGTGAGTTTACCAGCTGATGGGAAGATGAGGTGGGAGAGGGCAAAGGAGGGATTTCCAGGTGAGGACCAGAGAGAATTGCTCATGGTTGGGGTTTTGGGAGTAGTTACCAGTGGGACAGAAAAGGCCAGGGCCCAGGAGGGAGGGTGAGAATGGCAAGACAGGAGACAGGAGTGGGAAAAGGGCCAGGCCACAAAGAACCCTGATGCCCAGTGAAGGATTGTAAATTTATCCTGGAGGCAGTCGAGATTTTAATCGGGAGTGGCATAATTAGCCTTGTATTTCAGAAAGGTCACTCATGCTGCTTTTATGAAAATAGGTGGAAGGTAGCAAAACTAGTGGGGAAGCATTCTCAGATGAGCAGTAATGAAGTTTGATCCAGGTAGGAAGAGATAAGAACACTAAGAGGCAGAATTAGCATGATTCAACCTGCCATTAAAGATAGACATTAGGAAGCCTGCTGTGCAGAGAGACACTCACTGAAGCCAAGAGAGAGATTGAGGTGAACCAGGAATGCCATAGAGGACTGGGTCAGAAGCCTAAGAGACCCTAACACACAAGGGTGGACAAAGAGACAGTAGCCACAAAGTGACCACGCAGGAAAAGGCCGAGGGTACCTGGGACAGGGAAGCTCCCCAAAGGCAAGGGAAGAGCATGTTTCATGAAGGAGCAGTCAAGGTCAAATGCAGCCAGGAACATGAGAAATACGAAGACTGAGAAATACCTGTGTGCTTGGTAACAGTCACCAGGAACCCAGAGGAGAGCAGGTTTAATGGACCAGTGAGGATGAAAGTCAGACTCCTTGAGACTGAGAAAGGACTGGGGAGTAGGCGCACGGAAACAGCATCAAGACTCTTGAGAAGCTGTGCTGAGAGGAGGATGGGAGGCATGGAGCAGTATCTAGAGACAGAGTGAGGAAGCATTTGTGTATTTTCATTATTTGCACTTGTTTAATGATGGTGGAATTTGCTTAAATGCCAACAGGGAAGAGCCAGCCAAAGAGGAGGAGAGACTGAAGCCAGGAAAGGGGATTATCTTTGAGTGAAGCCCAAGGTGGGAGGGGTGGGGACCCTCAGTGTACATGGACAGCCTGTCTTTAAACAGCGAGGGACCTCTCTTACACTGTGTCAGGACAGAGGAAGAAAATGGAAGTTTTTAGGTTTGATGGGCTGATTTAGAGGAAGTTTGTATGTACTGGTTTCTTCCATTTTTTTTTTAAATTAGGAAGTTATATGGTCTGCTGAAAATTAGGAATGGTTCTATGTGGCTAAAAGTTTGAGGAGCATAAAGAAAGCTTGAAACAAAGAGAAAGCTTGTCAGAAAAAACAGGCTTGTCAGGCAGGTTGAAGTTGGAAATCATGAAATTATGGTACTACCAACCCACCCAGTTTTTTTCTATCTTCTGGAAACTTTGTCCACTAGCAGTCTTCCTACATTCTGGAAGCAAGGAAGGCATGCTCACATCCACTACACAGTCAGCACAGGTAGTCGCTGTGGGGAAGGGATAGTAGACCGCCCACCTGCACCTTTCTCTCCTCCTTTTACCATCCATCTCAGGCCGTGGACCAAAGGCCCTGTACCTGTCAATATGAGAGAGGAAATCTGTCTGCAATGGCTTTTACCCACATCCTTTTACACAGACTGTCTGTCCTTTCATTGATCTGTCTAGCAACAGTTGTTACACATCTTCTATTACATGCCATCCCTTGCATTACAGGGACATTGGTAAATAAGACATGGGCCTGCCCTCGAATAATAATAACTCAAGTTGCAGCTGAGTTCTATAAGCAGAGAATTACAATGTATTCCAAAAGATATTAAAGAGCACAAAATGCTTCTGGAGCACAGAAGAGACAGTAACTGAAAATAAGAAATTTTATAAAATGTTATATCACCTTCAAGCAGTCTTAATGTTTCCTCCAATACTCAAGTATTTATATATAAAACAAGAATTTTTTCTAAAAGACACTTAGACAAAGTTAACCCCTTTTGTGTTTAATAAGGTGTTTAAAGATCATGCAATTGATGGAGAAACTTTGCCATTACTCACAGAGGAGCATCTTCGAAGCACCATGGGGTTAAAGCTAGGGCCAGCACTAAAGATCCGATCCCAGGTATGGTGATTTTTCATTACTAACTATGTGTTAATGATGTGAAGATTAAGAGAATTATGTTATTTTTAAACTGTCATAATATTCATAATACCTATTAACCTCCTTACTGAGCTTTCCCTCTCTGTGGCTGGGGACCTGCTAGAAGTAAGGGAGCCTGATAACATCATTTTGGGGAGTGGTATGCAATCCTATGTACAGGGGGGAAGGTTGAGAGAAGTGGTGTGCTGGTAAATGCTTAACAAGCAGCTCTCTTTAAAAATGAGATGAACCCTGATTTGCAGCATTTGCCAATTCATATAGTGTAAATATTCCCACCATGGCTGACAAACTCTAAGGTAATGCACTAAATACCGAATTGGGAAGACATGCACAGTAGCACCCGTTTTAGAGTATTTTCACTATATGGATAAAATAGAAATAACCTCAGAGGCAGAGATAATAATAAGTAATAGTAAAATAATTAGTTAAAAACACGAAGTGATGAGTTTTGAGTATTTGCTACTTTAGTTTTCAATATAATGTACTTAATTGTAGTAATGGCATATTTAACGTGTGGATTTCAAACTTTCTAAGAATTTAACAAATGGCTCTCGGCACTGGAACAAGCCAGCTCCAGCTTACCACTTCTCACCACCTGTTCCGCTTCACTCTCCACTAAGGCACCATTGTCCACCTCTCGCTGGATTGCTGCATTGCTCTTTTAACTGTTCTTCCTGCTCTGCCCTTGCCCACCCAGAGACTATTCATTAAATGGTAAAGAATTGTGCATAAGACAGAGCATGTCAGTCTTCCGATCTGAAGTCTGCAATTGTTCCCCATTTCCCTCAGAATAAAAGCCAAGTCCTATATTATTTGCGCTCCCCCACCCCACCCCCACCCATCATCCTTACCTTCCTGACCTTGTCTCTGCTTGTCTTTTCCTCAGTTACTGCTTTTGCCCACTTGCTCCTGGACGCTCTGTAGGCTGCTCCACCTTCGGGCCATTTCCTCTGCCTGAATGCTCCTTCCTGATATCCTCATGCTTTGCTCCTTCATCTCCTTCATCTTTGCTCCACGATATTTTCTCACTGAGGCTTTCTCTGACGATCCTTTTTAAAATTGCACACAGCCCAGCCCCATGCATGCTACTGCTGTCCCTTTTCCCACTCTTCTTTTTTTCTCCCATAGCATCTATCACCTTCAGTCATACAATATAGCTTACTTATTTGTTAAAGCCATGTTTATTGTTGATTTCCTGCTGCCCCCACTTGAAGGTAAGCTCCATGAAAGCACAGATCTTTATGTTTTGTTGACTGGTGTATCCTTAGACTATGCAGGACCCCAAATAATAGGTCAAAAATTATTTGTTGAAAGAATGGGTTCCTAAAAGTGAAACCAAAACACATCAACTAATTCTTCCCAGAATATATACAGGACTGTCCCTTTCTACAATATGTATATATTTATACCAGGAGTTGAGATTTCAAAATGTCCTTCAGAAACCATTTTTATTTGCCTAAAATTGTTAGGGTAAGAAGTTATTTCTAATGCAAATACTTTAATGTTTCCATTGATACTCTTTTTTCCAACTTCTTATTTTGGAATAATTTTAGACATGGAAAAGTTGCAGAGAGTACAGAGCTTTCACCCAGGTTTTCCTAATGTTAATGCTGACATAATGTGGCCCATTTGCCACAACTAAGAAATTAATATTGGTACAATATAGTCTCTACTTGTAAATGATTTGTTTCCCTTCAGTGAGGATACTATACCTCTTGGTATACTTAAAATGACATCACACAGTTTCTTCTCAAGGCAGAGTTTCTTTGGCTTTGGTTTATCACTTTGGCTTTTTTTTTGTGGAAGGTGGGAGGTGGCCAACTCCAAGTCATTCTGAATCTTCTCCTCGCTTGCAGTTAGTATTACTTCCCTAATCATTTTCACAAGGCTGTGGTTATTTCTTGTGCTCCCAAATGATGTATGTAAGGGCCTCCATGAAGCCCAGCTGAGCTCTTCCATCCAGGCTCCACCTGTCTGCATAACAGGACAGAGCAGCCACAGAAACTGGCAAGAGAAGGTCTGGCTGATGCCAGATGTTCAAGAACAGTTGTAGAGTCCTTGGGATTGAGGTGAGCAGACAGGAGCTCATCAGAGGACAAGATAACGAGGCCTCAGTCTCCAAAATAGGAAACAACCAAGGGCAAAATTCCATGACAGCAAGCCCTGCTAAGAAGGAAAGCCACCCTCTAGAACAGAAACTGAGGAGGTAGACCCGAACTGGGTGTGCAAGGAAAGGGGTAGGAGAAGAAAAAGTTACTGGAATGCGAGAACTCAGATATGATTAGAATGGAAGAAGCTGGATTTGCGCTGTGACAACGTGAGTAGCACAGAAGTCTCATGGGTCCCATGCAGGGTCAGGTTTGTGTAGGAGCCCAATAGTTAGTCCCAGGCACCAAGACCCAGGGCAGCCTCATTTACGTTGCAACACTTAACTGTGTGCTAAGGTGGTTCAAATAATCCCAGCCTCAGCCTGGAGAAGGGCCAGCTGGGTATTGGTGAAGGTGGAGTGGGTATCTATGGGTTTGTGGGACCTGTTGCAGGAACACTGGGAAAGGAGAGGTGGCATGAACTCAGAGCAAAATAATTGTGTGCACAGGGGAACTGCAGCAGAACTAGGAATCCTAAATTACTACTTCCTTGATATCCAGCTTTACAGCAATAAACACTGTATGGTTCTAGGAGAAAGAAAAAGCCTACCAAATCCTAGAACCATGTCCCCCATGACTCTATAGATGCCTGAAATTACTCAGCCTCCCTGCCATGTGTGACTAAGCAGAGTACACTGAGTTACTGAAAGAATTCATAGTTTTAATTGCCATAATCATTTTATCTTCAAAGGTATCTCAACATGTGGAAAATATGCTCTCCAAGAAAAATCCTTCACTTCATACCCATACAAAACAAGCATTTGATCAGGCCGCAGGTGCATCCCCTCTTTCAGGTTTTAATTCCTGGAGCCATACATTGGACGTTCCTTGTTCTCAGGATATAATACTTGAGAAAGGAATCAAACAAGACAGCGTGAGCAACTAAAACCAAGGAGCAGGGACAGTCTTATTCCATTTTCCAAAGAGTCTAGAATATTCTAGATGGTATGTGAAGGTTCCCAGGACCAAATGAAACTGAGAGGGAAGAAAAGCCAGCCTTCCTGGAGCTGTCTTGGAGGAGGCCTTGCCCAAGAGGCTCCCTAAAGTGACTCCAGCACAAAGTGGCTGGAGGCGTGTGATTGGGAGCACGTGTGAGAGCATTTGCAAACATCGAAAAAGCTTCAGTTGGATGTTTCCATGAGGAAATCCCTGAAAAGGCCAGAAGAGCCTATACCGAGAAAAAGGGCGCCTCTCCTCTCATCACTCACTTCCTCCCAGCCAGAAAAAGACAAAGGCAACCCAGTGGAGCAGGAGGAAGACAGAAGAGAAAGTGCAGTACAAAAGTGGGAAATAGAGAAGCTGACCGCAAGGGCCCCACCTTTTCTCACGGCAGGCGTCCAGGAGGAGGGAGACCCCAGCCAGGGAAGGGCCGTAGCTTCAACCTCAAATTTCAGAGTCTGACTATCACTCAGCATTTCCCTCTGACATGAAACTGTATTATGACCAGAAATACCTGGAGGCCTCCTTATTATCTGAGGGGGAGATGAAGTCATAGTACCCACCTCAGGTTTCCCCCAAGAGGTGGGGCAGTTATGTTCTGCAAAGCAGTTTGAACTGGCAAGGTGGGGGGGGACAAGGTGAAAGGGCCTTTCTGACGGTCCCTATGGGGCCTTGCTGTCAACTTCACATGGAACAGAAAGCTTCTCATGGGATATGCCCAAGGTATCTTCAAAGTCACCTTGAACAGAAAGCTTCTGAAAGTCAGCTCACAGAGGGACCAGGGGCACAGAGGTGTAAAGGAGACTTAGTACATATCCTGGTACCGTTTGAGTTTCTAGCTATAATAATATATTTTCTATTTTGAAATTTTACATTGAAATTAAACTGTAGCAAGCAACCTCCAAGATGGCCCCCAATGATCCCTGCTTCCTGGTATTCATGCCCTGGGTAAACCCCCCATTTTAGGTGGGCTGGACTTGTGGGCTCTTTTCTAATGAATGGAATATGAAAGACATGATGGGGTGTCCCTTCAGTGGTTTCTGTCTGGGGCGCTCTCTCCCACTGTCTTTGGAATGCCCACTCTTGAAGAAGCCAACTTCTACATCTCCAGGCATCCCTGCAGGGAGGCTGCAAGACTGAACTTGAACTCGGATCTTCTGAGGCCTGCCAGCAGCCGCAGGAGGGAGTCTGAAGGTGGCTCCTCCGCGAGTCAGGCCTTGAAATGACTGTACAGCTCCTGCCTGGAGCTTGATGGCAGCCCTGAGCCAGATGCCCCTGGATTCCTGACTCAAATACTCTGAGATAATAAATATGTGTTATTTTCAGCCACTGTGTTTTGGAGTAATTTGTTTCACAGCCAAAGATAATTAAAACAAACAAATAAATTGCACTGATAAACATGCATAGCAGATTACCCACACTAGCTTTTTGATTCACCTTTTAGCAGTTTGGAAGGTGGGCTTCTGAAGTCATTGTCCCCAAGCCATGCTATTTTAGTTGAGTTTTGATTTCTTTCATTTTTAATATGAAAACAGCAGGGTTTTTTGCCAACATAAAATTATATTATAATTATATTACATTGTATTATATTTCAAATATAAGTTAACAGATGTTATGGTAGGAATAAAAAGAAAAGCTTAATTAATGTTTTTAGTGGCAAAGGCATTGTGTGGTTCAGTTCGTATGATGGTTTTTGAATTTCTCATCCCTGCTAAATGAGTCAATGGAGTTGATAATGGATATACTTGGACAGATGTGTCTCAGTGGTGCTGTAAGGAAAATGTTCTGATATGCCATCTTGGCATATACTCTCACTAAAAAAAAGCAGTGCTTAATTTTAGATCCATATATAAAAACAGAGCCAGAGGACACAGATAAAGGAGGCTTTCCCCAGCTCTCAGCACTCTTCTTTGGAAGAGGAGACTGAAACTGCTTACCTATGCTCAGAGAGCTTTCTCTCCAGATTAATTACTCCAGGGTATTTTTTAATGAAAGACCCAATTTAGTAACAAAAAGTACTTTGGAGGGTAAAAAATTTTACTCATATTACTGTAGAGAAATCATTTTTTATTTTTCGGCAAAAGCCACTTTAGTCTTGAGCATTCCTTGTACCCTCTGTAAGGATGAAACAAACAATAGCAACAACAAAAAACCCTGTCTTATGTTTGAAAACCAATGACAGTAAAACTGTGTTTGCTACTTGTGAAATATTCTTTTTAGACAGATTGAACAAACACATCCATACAAAGGAGTGCTGTGCAACTGCTTCCTCTATGAAAGTATTACTGCTATTAAAAAGCAATAAGAATTCAAATATCACCATTTTGCACCCCTAAAAAATAAAGGATCTAGACTATGATCATAAATCTGCTAACATAGCAAAAAGAAACAACCTCTGGTCAAAGTCTGTGGAACAGTTATGAATATAACCAAATCCAAACTGTGGGAAAAATCAGTAGAAACTGTATAACTATGTAGTAAAAATGAACTGATTTGCTTCAACAAATCAACTGCAAAGAAAAACAGAGAAAGGGAAGAAGAAAACTAATAGATTAAAAGATACTAAAGATTCAAATCACCCAGAGGTAAGTTTTGGAAACAGGTACTGAGGATGCCTGTACAACGTTGTGGATATAATTAATGCCACTGAATCATACATTTAAAAATGGTTAAAACCACAAATTCTATGTTTTATATATACTTTTTTTCTTTTTACCACAATAAAAAANCCTGTGTGCAGTCTGAGTGCACAAGCTCTGAAGCAGCTCTGCATGTGCACACCTGTTGCAAGGACCTTGTCTGAAATGTCCCCTCGGCTGGTCCTTACAGCTCCTGGGCCTGTCTCCCTGCATACTTCTTGCGTACCTCTGCCTCAGGTGCCTACTTAGCAACTCCTACCACCTGCCTCCTGTAACTAGAAAAAGAAATTCTGAAAAAAAATAATAACCACACCAAAAACCCAAACCCTGATGAGCAAATGAACTCTCAAAAAGATGTAGAGAGAGAGAGTTGGTGGCTCAACTGCTTAGGGATATCCAGGAGAGCCTGCAACACATTTGGTTTGTTCTAAGTAAATGCAGTTCAAAGAACTCAGCAGATAAATATTCTCTCACCAAGAGATAATTGAAATTACTAAAAATATGTGCACATTTCTATAGTGCTCTTGGCCTGAGCTTCTCTCCTGAGAATGAGGTGAGAGGGATGTCTGAGCGACAGGGGTGTGCTCTGTACCCTTGCCCCAGGCCCAAGGTTGACCCAGAGGCTGAGTTCAGGCCTTGGCTGCCACCTACCTCTGGAAATGAGTCCCTGTGGGCTCTCCTTTGGATGCTCACTCTGGGTCCTTTCACTGCTCACCGAAATCCCTGCAAAGGAAAGAGAAAGGAGGTAAAATTTCCACCATTAATAGGCTTAACTATTTCTGTCGCATTCCTCTTTCTGAATGGCCATGGGATTCAGCAGGAAAAATGCTGGACTAGAAGCATGAATTGTATGTCATTTGACAAGTTCTCTAACTGCCAGGCAGTGCTTCTTGACCACTTAACCTGTTCTCCATTAGTTCTCTCATTTGTGAAAGATCCTAACAATGATGCCCACTCTTTGTCGGACACATTTTGCTGCATAGTAAAATTGAGCATCAAGGTGGATAAAAGAGTGAGTATTTGAAAACTGTGTATAATTTCAAATCCAGCTCTTTCCATGATAATTGCCCTATACTGAGTCTATAGGACCACATGGTCCCATAAGGTACCCACGAGCACATGGGCCCCTAGGGTTTCTCAAAGGTGGTAGAAAGGATCCTTAGGTTATTCTTGGTATTTCAAAAAGCCTAAGAGAGGTTTGACATTTCCCCAAGATGAGGTGACAAGACTAGCCCAAACTGTCAAGTTTTTGCTTTGGCCCAAATTAATTCCTATTAGTCGTTCTATGATTTGCTAAATTAAAATAGGAAAAGAAATAATTAATAATATAGCTTGTGAATCACCAAAATCTGTTAGGATGCAAAGTTCCTGGTACAGAAGCTTCCCATGAAGATTTTATTTTTCAGCCAGTCCTGGGCATTTCCCCTTAGGCATGGACCACGTGGTCCCTGAACAAGACAAATAGGGTCCCTCTTCTCACGGAGCTTATAGTCCAGAAGAGGGACATAGTAATGGATTCCACATCCATGTGAATGTGCTCTGAGGGGCAGGTACAGCGCATGGTAGGAACCCACAGGAGGGCCTCATGGCTTCCTAAAGAGGCATTAAAAGTGAGACTGATGGTGAGTTTACCAGCTGATGGGAAGATGAGGTGGGAGAGGGCAAAGGAGGGATTTCCAGGTGAGGACCAGAGAGAATTGCTCATGGTTGGGGTTTTGGGAGTAGTTACCAGTGGGACAGAAAAGGCCAGGGCCCAGGAGGGAGGGTGAGAATGGCAAGACAGGAGACAGGAGTGGGAAAAGGGCCAGGCCACAAAGAACCCTGATGCCCAGTGAAGGATTGTAAATTTATCCTGGAGGCAGTCGAGATTTTAATCGGGAGTGGCATAATTAGCCTTGTATTTCAGAAAGGTCACTCATGCTGCTTTTATGAAAATAGGTGGAAGGTAGCAAAACTAGTGGGGAAGCATTCTCAGATGAGCAGTAATGAAGTTTGATCCAGGTAGGAAGAGATAAGAACACTAAGAGGCAGAATTAGCATGATTCAACCTGCCATTAAAGATAGACATTAGGAAGCCTGCTGTGCAGAGAGACACTCACTGAAGCCAAGAGAGAGATTGAGGTGAACCAGGAATGCCATAGAGGACTGGGTCAGAAGCCTAAGAGACCCTAACACACAAGGGTGGACAAAGAGACAGTAGCCACAAAGTGACCACGCAGGAAAAGGCCGAGGGTACCTGGGACAGGGAAGCTCCCCAAAGGCAAGGGAAGAGCATGTTTCATGAAGGAGCAGTCAAGGTCAAATGCAGCCAGGAACATGAGAAATACGAAGACTGAGAAATACCTGTGTGCTTGGTAACAGTCACCAGGAACCCAGAGGAGAGCAGGTTTAATGGACCAGTGAGGATGAAAGTCAGACTCCTTGAGACTGAGAAAGGACTGGGGAGTAGGCGCACGGAAACAGCATCAAGACTCTTGAGAAGCTGTGCTGAGAGGAGGATGGGAGGCATGGAGCAGTATCTAGAGACAGAGTGAGGAAGCATTTGTGTATTTTCATTATTTGCACTTGTTTAATGATGGTGGAATTTGCTTAAATGCCAACAGGGAAGAGCCAGCCAAAGAGGAGGAGAGACTGAAGCCAGGAAAGGGGATTATCTTTGAGTGAAGCCCAAGGTGGGAGGGGTGGGGACCCTCAGTGTACATGGACAGCCTGTCTTTAAACAGCGAGGGACCTCTCTTACACTGTGTCAGGACAGAGGAAGAAAATGGAAGTTTTTAGGTTTGATGGGCTGATTTAGAGGAAGTTTGTATGTACTGGTTTCTTCCATTTTTTTTTTAAATTAGGAAGTTATATGGTCTGCTGAAAATTAGGAATGGTTCTATGTGGCTAAAAGTTTGAGGAGCATAAAGAAAGCTTGAAACAAAGAGAAAGCTTGTCAGAAAAAACAGGCTTGTCAGGCAGGTTGAAGTTGGAAATCATGAAATTATGGTACTACCAACCCACCCAGTTTTTTTCTATCTTCTGGAAACTTTGTCCACTAGCAGTCTTCCTACATTCTGGAAGCAAGGAAGGCATGCTCACATCCACTACACAGTCAGCACAGGTAGTCGCTGTGGGGAAGGGATAGTAGACCGCCCACCTGCACCTTTCTCTCCTCCTTTTACCATCCATCTCAGGCCGTGGACCAAAGGCCCTGTACCTGTCAATATGAGAGAGGAAATCTGTCTGCAATGGCTTTTACCCACATCCTTTTACACAGACTGTCTGTCCTTTCATTGATCTGTCTAGCAACAGTTGTTACACATCTTCTATTACATGCCATCCCTTGCATTACAGGGACATTGGTAAATAAGACATGGGCCTGCCCTCGAATAATAATAACTCAAGTTGCAGCTGAGTTCTATAAGCAGAGAATTACAATGTATTCCAAAAGATATTAAAGAGCACAAAATGCTTCTGGAGCACAGAAGAGACAGTAACTGAAAATAAGAAATTTTATAAAATGTTATATCACCTTCAAGCAGTCTTAATGTTTCCTCCAATACTCAAGTATTTATATATAAAACAAGAATTTTTTCTAAAAGACACTTAGACAAAGTTAACCCCTTTTGTGTTTAATAAGGTGTTTAAAGATCATGCAATTGATGGAGAAACTTT